GGGGGCAGAGAAATCATACCGGGGCGGGGGGGAAGAGGCAGATAAATCATACCCTAGCAGGTAACAGAGAAATCGTACCCTGGTGGGTGATAGAGAAATCATACCCTAGGGGCTAACAGAGAAGTTATACACTGGGGGGTGACACAGAAATCATGCCCTAGGGTGTGACATAAATCATACCCTAGGGTGTGACATAAATCATACCCTAGGGGCTGACAGATATAATCATTCCACAGTGAGTGACAACAAAATCATCCCCTGTACCCGAGGGGGTGACAGAAAAATCGTATCCTAGGGGTTGACAGAAATCATACCCTTGTAACACAGAAAAATCAAACCCTAGTGGGTTACAGATAAATCATACCCTATGGGTGAAAGCGAAATCATCCCCTGTACCCGAGGGGGTGACAGAAAAATCGTATCCTAGGGGTTGACAGAAATCATTCCCTTGTAACACAGAAAAATCAAACCCTAGTGGGTAACAGATAAATCATACCCTATGGGTGACAGTGAAATCATCCCCTGTACCGGAGGTGGTGACAGAAAAATCGTATCCTAGGGGTTGACAGAAATCATACCCTTGTAACACAGAAAAATCAAACCCTAGTGGGTAACAGATAAATCATACCCTATGGGTGAAAGCGAAATCATCCCCTGTACCCGAGGGGGTGACAGAAAAATCGTATCCTAGGGGTTGACAGAAATCATTCCCTTGTAACACAGAAAAATCAAACCCTAGTGGGTAACAGATAAATCATACCCTATGGGTGACAGTGAAATCATCCCCTGTACCGGAGGGGGTGACAGAAAAATCCTATCCTTGTTAGTGACAGATAAATCATACCCTAGTAACACAAAAAAATCATACCCTAGTAACACAGAAAAATCGTATCCTTGTTAGTGACAGATAAATCATACCCTATGGGTGACAGTGAAATCATCCCCTGTACCGTAGGGGGGGACAGAAAAATCCTATCCTTGTTGTGACAGATAAATCATACCCTATGGGTGACAGTGAAATCATCCCCTGTACCGGAGGGGGTGACAGAAAAATCGTATCCTAGGGGGTGACAGAAATCATACCCTTGTAACACAGAAAAATCATACCCTATTAACACAGAAAAAATATACCCTAGTAACACAGAAAAATAATACCCTAGTAACACAGAAAAATCGTATCCTTGTTAGTGATAGATAAATCATACCCTTGTAACACAGAAAAATCAAACCCTAGTAACACAGAAAAATCATACCCTTGTTAGTGACAGATAAATCATACCCTAGTAACACAGAAAAATCAAACCCTAGTAACACAGAACAATCATACCCTAGTAACATAGAAAAAATATACCCTACCTAGGGTGTGACATAAATCATACCCTAGGGGTGACAGAGAAACAATACCCTAGGGTTTCTAGAAATCATATACCAGGGGTGACAGAGAAATCATATCCTAAATCATACCCTAGTAACCCAGAAAAATCATACCCTATTAACACAGAAAAATCATACCCTTGTTAGTGACAGATAAATCATACCATAGTAACACAGAAAAATAGTATCCTTGTTCGTGACAGAAAAATCATACCCGAGTAACACAGAAAAAATATACCCTACCTAGGGTGTGACATAAATCATACCCTAGGGGTGACAGAGAAACAATACCCTAGGGTTTCTAGAAATCATATACCAGGGGTGACAGAGAAATCATATCCTAGGAGTTGACAGAGAAATCGTTATAGCTAGAGAAAGAAATCATACCTGAAGGGGGGACAGAGAAACAATACCCTAGGGATTCTAGAAATCATATACCAGGGGTGACAGAGAAATCATATCCTAGGAGTTGACAGAGATATCGTTTAAGCGAGAGAGAGAAATCATACCTGAAGGGGTGACAGAGAAACAATACCCTAGGGATTCTAGAAATCATATACCAGGGGTGACAGAGAAATCATATCCTAGGAGTTGACAGAGAAATCGTTATAGCTAGAGAAAGAAATCATACCTGAAGGGGGGACAGAGAAACAATACCCTAGGGTTGCTAGAAATCATATACCAGGGGTGACAGAGAAATCATAACCTTGGGGTGACACTAGTAACACAGAAAAAATCATACCCTAGTAACATAGAAAAAATATACCCTACCTAGGGTGTGACATAAATCATACCCTAGGGGTGACAGAGAAACAATACCCTAGGGTTTCTAGAAATCATATACCAGGGGTGACAGAGAAATCATATCCTAAATCATACCCTAGTAACACAGGGAAATCATACCCTAGTAACTCAGAAAAAATATACCCTAGGAACACAGAAAAATCATACCCCAGTAACACAGAAAAATTGTATCCTTGTTAGTGACAGAAAAATCATACCCGAGTAACACAGAAAAATTGTATCCTTGTTAGTGACAGAAAAATCATACCCCAGTAACACAGAAAAATTGTATCCTTGTTAGTGACAGAAAAATCATACCCGAGTAACACAGAAAAATCGTATCCTTGTTAGTGGAGGTGGTGACAGAAAAATCGTATCCTTGTTAGTGGAGGTGGTGACAGAAAAATCGTATCCTAGGGGTTGACAGAAATCATACCCTTGTAACACAGAAAAATCATCCCCTAGTAACACAGAAAGATTATACCCTAGTAACAAAGAAAAATCATACCCTATTAACACAGAAAAATCATACCCTAGTAACACAGAAAAATCATAACCTAGTAACACAGAAAAATCGTATCCTTGTTAGTAACAGATAAATCATACCCTAATGGGTAACAGATAATTCATAACCTAGGGTCAGATGCAGAAATCATACCCTAGAAGGTGACATAGAAACAGTACCCTCGGGGTGACAGGGGTGAGACAAATCATACCTTAAGGGGTGACAGAGAACCCATACCATAGGGTTGATAGTAATCATATACTAGGGGTGACAGAGAAATCATACCTTAGGGGTGAGAGAGAAATCATACCCTAGGGGTGTCAGAAATCATATATTAGGGGTGACAGAGAAGGGGTGACATAAATCATATACTAGGGGTGACAGAGAAATCATAACCTAGGGGTGAGATAGAAATCATACCCTAGGGGTGAGAGAGAAACAACATCCTAGGGGTGTCAGAAATCATATCCTATGGGTGACAGAGAAATCATAACCTTGGGGTGACAGAAATCATATCCCAGGGGTGACAGAGAAATCATAACCTTGGGGTGACAGAAAGCATATCCTTGGGGTGACAGAGAAACCATACCCTAGTGTTGACAGAAATCATAACCTTGGGGTGACAGAGAAACTTAATCCTAGGGTTGACAGAAAGCATATCCTAGGGGTGACAGAGAAACCATACCCAAGGGTTGACAGAAAGCATAGCCTAGGGATGACAGAGAAATCACACACTAGGGGTGACAGAGAAATCATACACTTGGGATGAGAGAAATCACACCCTAGGGATGACAGAAATCATATCATAGAGGTAAAAGAGAAACCATACCGTAGAAGTGACAGAAATCATAGCCTAAGGGTGACAGAGAAATCATATCCTAGGGGCTGACAGGGATAATCATTACACAGTGAGTGACAGTGAAATCATACCCAAGGGGTGACAGAGAAACAATACCCTAGGGTTGCTAGAAATCATATACCAGGGGTGACAGAGAAATCATATCCTAGGAGATGGCAGAGAAATCGTTTTAGCGAGAGAGAGAGAAATCATACCTGAAGGAGTGACAGAGAAACAATACCCTAGGGTTTCTAGAAATCATTTACCAGGGATGACAGAGAAATCATATCCTAGGAGTTGACAGAGATATCGTTTTAGCGAGAGAGAGAGAGAAATCATACCTGAAGGGGTGACAGAGAAACAATACCCTAGGTTTGCTAGAAATCATATACCAGGGGTGACAGAGAAATCATATCCTAGGGTTGACAGAGAAATCATACCCTAGGGTTGACAGAAATCATAGCCTAGGGATGACAGAAATCATATCATAGAGGTAATAGAGAAATCATACCGTAGAGGTGACAGAAATCATATCCTAGGGGCTGACAGAAAAATCATATCCTAGGGGCTGACAGGTATAATTATTACACAGTGAGTGACAGTGAAATCATACCCTAGGGGTGACAGAGAAAAATACCCTGGGGTTGCTAGAAATCATATACCAGGGGTGACAGAGAAATCATATCCTAGGAGTT